AGGTTGAGATCCCCAAGAAGGGTGAGGTTGAGTTAGCAGAGGTCGACAAGACCGAAAGTGAGGCCGAGAAGGCTGATGTCCCCAAGGAGGCTGAGGAGTACGTCACTCCAATCCTTGTGCTTCTTGTAATGTCGATCTTCTTCTTCCTATCGGCACTGTATGTGTGTCTCTTTGATGTTGATGTATTTTTGGGCATGCGCCATAAGTTGGGTGATACAGTAGGGTTGGAACAAACTAACACAAGACAAAAAGAGAGAGGAAGAGAGAGTAAAAAGGGTAGAGAAAGAGAAAAGAGAGAGAAATCCCAAGGAATCACTCCAAGGGGTCCTAGAATCACTCTAAGGTTTGTAGGAATCACTCCATATAGCAAGAGAGCTATTAAGAAATCTTCATTCATTCATTAGCCTCAAAAGGAAGAGAATACATCTATTTATAGAGTGACTTGTGTGGCCCATAACACTTTTCACCATAATTACAAAAAGTGCCACTCTTTGTCTTGTGCATCAAGAAACACAATAACTTTCTATCTACTAATGAAAATAAATTGAAAATTGAAAGACAAGCACTACTAAGCTATAGGAACAAGATGCTATAGCCCATGTCCACATTAGGTTTGTCAAAATGGCGAAAATACCCCTTACCAGATCAGTCCAACTCCCAAGAGTCTTCTCCCTACCAAATCAAAACATGTTTATTGGCCTTCTTCTTACGAGAATAGGCCTTATAATGCATAGATCGATCCCCATCATCTCTTCCCGGCTTGAAAGAACTCGACCTTGGTGAGTTAAAGGCATGATATTGCTCATAAAGTTCTGGATTAAGATGATACAAATCATCAATTGTAATCCATGAACATTCTGAAAGGGGTAGATTCTTCCACTTTACAAGAGACTTTTGAAAACCCCCACTTGTTGTAGAAATCAACTTCTCATCAAGGGTGTCTTCTCTACTATTCACTTGCTTCAAGCTCTTCTCTATTTTAAGAACCATCTGAAAAGCATCATCTACATCATAAACTCGTGCAGCCATCATTTCCCTTTGAATATCAGCCCTTAAACCATTCTAAAATCAGGCTAATTTTTTATTCTCACTTTCAATAAACTGACATCTAATAGTAAGCTCATCAAACTTTTGCATGTACTCAGACATAGATAAGTTGCCTTGCCTCAATGTCATCGTCTCATCATGAAGAGCATCTTGAAGTTCATTAGGCAAATGCTTCTCCTCCATGTAATGCTTCATATCTTCCTAACGGGTGATAGGACGCTTACCCATATTCTGTAATCTATTCTTCACACTCCACCATAATTTTGCATGGTCTACAAGTTTAACTTTAGCAAATCTAACCTGTCTTTCATCTAACATATCGAACCAATCAAAGTATTCCTCTAGTTCTGCCAACCAATTGGAGAAAACTCGTGTATTGATATCACCTCTAAAACTAGGAACTTCCATCTTCACTTTACTAGTAATATCATCCTGATAGTCATCTATATTAGTCTTAGAATGCTCCACCAACTCATCATATAAATCATTTAAAGTACCTTGAGTTTGTAGAGTTCGAGACCTTAGGGGCTTGATGGCAGTCCTTAGTGGGTGGTTCACATGTGGACCAGTAGGGTTATTAGTGTTAGAACCCTTTGCTTCAGCTCCTCCATGTGGAACACTAATGTTGTTTTTCTTTTCTTGTTCTTCCGTTAACACTTTGACTTGAGCTTCTAGGGTGTCCACTCGATTAATAAGTGCAAGCAACAACTCTTCTTAGCTCGTTCACTTAATCTTCCTCTCATTTTTCTACCATGGTAATGAGCCATTTGAAACCTGATGCTCTGATACCAAAACTGATGCAGTAGGGCTGGAACAAACTAACACAAAACAGAAAGAGAGAGGAAGAGAGAGTAGAAAGGGTAGAGAAAGAGAAAAGAGAGAGAAATCCCAAGGAATCACTCCAAGGGGAACTAGAATCACTCTAGGGTTTGTAGGAATCACTCCATGTAGTAAGAGAGTTCTTAAGAAATCTCCATTCATTCATTAGCCTCAAAAGGAAGAGAATACGTCTATTTATAGAGTGGCTTGTGTGGCTCGAAACACTATTCACTATAATTACAAAAAGTGCCACTCGCTCTTGTGCATGAAGAAATACAATAACTTTCTATCTACTAATGCAAATAAACTAAAAAATTGAAAGACAAGCACTACTAAGCTATAGGAACAAGATGCTATAGTCCAAATCCACATTGGGCTGGTCAAAATGACGAAAATACCCCTGACTAAATCAATTCAAGTCCTAAGAGTCTTCTCCATGCCAAATCAGAACCTGTTTGTTGGCCTTCTTCTTACGAGAATAGGCCTTATAATGCATAGACCGATCCCCATCATTGGGTCAACCTATTATGGGGCTTCTTCTATAGCAAAAAACTGAACTTGGATGCATGCAACCCATTCATTATGGCAGCCACGACCACAAACTGGTTTAGGTTCTAAACTTGAATGGACTTGGCATTGAATCTCGCCAAGTATTCTCGTAGGGACTCGTCTTCCCTCTATATCAGATTTGTATGAGGCTGGCTAGCATATTATATTGTTGAGGGTTATTGATCAAGAACTACTCCTTGAATTGGTTTGAGGCAGTTATTGATCGGGGACTGGAGGGCGGAGCGCGGTGTACCACTGTCGAGATGAACCTTGGAGTGTGGACGCGAAAGGCCTTGAACATCAAGGCTTCGAGAGTGCCATGAAGGAGCATAATCACTTTGAATCCCTCTAGGTGATCAACAGGATTCGTGGTTCCGTCAGACTTCTCAAATTGAGGGGGCTCCATCCTACGGGGGGCAGTTCATCCATAATTTGTTGTGTGAAAACCGACTCTTTTGGAGAACGAGCTTCCATGACGATCGTGCTTTGGTTGGTGTTGCTCCACTCTAACTCGTTTATTCGCTCCCACATGTCACTTATCTTAGTGTCCAAGTCTACGAGTTTCATTGCCTTATGTGTTGTGTGACAATCTCTTATGGAGCTGGACTCGACAAGGGAGACCTACAACTGTTGGTGTTGCGCATGTAGACAAAGGTGAGCCAAACTGATGCGATCCTTTAGTAGAAGACGAGCACCTCCAAACATCGAACCGCTTTGGCCACTGACTTTTGGGTCAAAGGTTTGACCATCCGAGTTGAATGGGCTGAAATGGTCAAGGTTAGAAAGAAATATAAATAGAGAGGAGGTAGTTGTTAGTTGGGAAAGGAAAGAGAAAACAAATAGGAAAGGGAAGAAAGAAAAGAAAGAAAGGAAAGACAAGATAGCAGCAGTGAGCTGACAATGCTTCACTTGCGATGACGACAACGACGATGAAGGTATCAGATAACAGCGGGGTGAGCTGACGATAGCAGATCCGACCTCAGATCTCATCTCAGATATACCAAATCTCAAATCTCATCTCTCCCTCTCCCTCTCCCTCTCCCTCTCTCTCTCTCTATCTCTCCCTTTCTCTTTCTCTCATCTCACTGATCTCAAATCTGAGATCTCAGAACTGATATCTCTATCTCAGATCTTAGATCTCCTCTGTTTACACTTCCTTAAAAAGTTAAATAAAACTATGAACCACTGCCCAGGTCGAACGATTTAGCGGTTCAACTGTCCAGGTCTACGGTTTTCTGACCCTTTCAACATTTTTGTAGGAATTAACAGTCCAAAGAAAAACTAGACTCATAGACCTGACTAGTTACTGGTTCAAACAGTCTGATCGCCCAGTCCGGTCCATTTTTCAAAACAATGCAATGAACAATATAGGGTGGTACAAAAAGAGCAAGATGGTCCTAGAAATTAATTAGGAAAAGGGTGCTATAGAGATTTAGAAATGTTTAACAACTAAATACCAATTACATAGAAATATTATTATTCAAAGTTAACTGATGTGTAACTCTAATGGAGGAGGAAAAGTGTGAGAATATTAAAGTTAGGGGAATAAATGTCAGTATCCCCAAAGTATGGTGGTAACATGTAATTTATAATGTTAAATAATTAAATAATAACCAAAAGAACTTCTGGTCTCACCAATCAATTATTGGTAATATGGTTTTCGCAGACAGAATCCCACAATATAATACCTCAATGTTAATGGCCAATCCAATCTTATGGTATGACCAATTCAACGGTGAGGAAAGATGTCATTTTCTCTATCTAGGATATTATCTAAAGCATCCACTTAATGCCTGAAACTTCTACCTACTTCTGTTACCGACATTTAGACATTTTTAATTATTAGACAACTCCATTGAATACTTGGGATGCTAATGACCTAGTAAAATATTTTGAAGCCTTGACCAAATTCCATTCAACAAACATCAATTACATTTCCGTGGTAAAGACTTCACATGCACCCTTCTCCATCTTTCCCCATAATAATGGGAAAGGAGGAAGAGCGAAGAAAAAGAGGAAGGAAAGAATTCATATTATTATAACTGCCATTTCATGCTATTAGATCTGTTCATGGGCTGGGTTAGGGCTTAACTTTTGTCAAAATTTTAATGGACCTGGCCCGAATCTCAAGCCAGACATAATATAAAGTCAGGACCGAAGCGCAGCCTATGAATGGGTCTAAGTGCTATTAAGTCTCACTGATGATGTGGGGAGCTTTCATTGAATGGTTCATGTAAAAGGTGGACCTATGTCAAATGGGCAATTGACTACAGTACAATCCCCTGTATTTGTAGTAGCCATATTGAATTGCAGCCTCAATTAGTCAGGAACCCACTACCCTCCTCAAAAGCTGGTGATTGGTAAGTACCATGTATTGCATAAGAACAATGGAACCTCACTTACACAAGGCAATTAAAACCCTGAAAACAATTATCCGCACTAAACCAAGGGTAAGGAGAAGCTCGAACTCGTCCATGGTGTAATATTGACCAAATCAACGAAGGAAAGTGAGAGGAAAAGTATGTCATTGCTTTTTAATTTCTACGTGTAATTGGTGAGATGCAATGGGGGATGAGAGAGTGACATTCTACGATAACTTCAACCTTGGAGCATGATGTCCAATATGAACCTTGTGCCTTTCAGCATTTGCCTCAGTGGAGCCTATAAATGGGCGAAATGGAAAGTTTGAAACAAACCAATTAAAACAAAACAAGGGCAGCTAATAAGTAACAATGGAATTGCCCGTTCTGCTGCTTCAACTCCTTTTTCTGTTGCCAATGGCTGCAATATCATCGGCACTGGCCTTGGCGAAGCCCAGCTGCGAGGAAAAATGTGGCGACATCACCATTCCCTACCCGTTCGGCTTCGGGGATTCAAGTTGTTACAGAAAGTCGTACGAGGTAACCTGCAACCACAATTTCAACCCTCCAAAGCCTTTCCTATTGAACAGTAATATAGAGGTTCTAAACATATCGCTACTAGGCCAATTGCGCACTAGAGGCTTTTTAAGTTACGATTGCTACAATCAGTTGGGAAATTCGACGAACAGGTCCCGCGCTTCTTTCAATCTTGCAGACCTTCCCTATACTTTTTCCGACACCAAAAACAAGTTCACGGCAATGGGTTGCGACACAATAGCCTTGCTAACGGCTTCCGGGGGTCGCAACTTTACAGGCGGATGCTCCATGCTTAGCAGCGACCTGCAGAACTTGGTTAACGGGTCATGTTCTGGGATTGGTTGTTGTCAGACTTCGATTCCAAAGGGGTTCAAATACTTCGATGTGGTTCTCAGTAGTGCTTTTAATCACACCCAGGTCTCGATTTTCAATCCTTGCAGCTACGCTTTCTTGGTTGATTCTGAGTGGTTTAACTTCTCCGTACCCGATATCATGGGCTATATGGATTTCTATAACATAAATGGAGGAATGGTCCCAATCGTGCTCGACTGGGCAATAGAAAACTACACCTGTGCAAATGCTCTCACTAGTGATCCAAATTATGCATGCGGTAAGAACAGCGAATGTTTTAACTCTCCTAATGGTTTGGGATATCTCTGCAATTGTTCTCAAGGTTATCAGGGCAACCCTTATCTTGAAAACGGATGCCAAGGTACGTATATTGCAGTTACATTTATTCCTAGATCTCTACGCCATCACGAGTACTTCCAGAAGTTTGATTGTCATTGTTTAATTAATACGGTCCGTGTTTTGTCTTATAAATGGTCTGCAGACATAGACGAATGCGCATATCCAACTTTGAATGACTGCTCATCATCAGGGCAATGCACTAATACGCCTGGGAGTTACTACTGCTCCTGCCCAGATGGTACCCAAGGGGATGGAAGGAAAAATGGGAGTGGTTGTGTAGCTCCTCCAAGGAAGCGATCTCAGCTGATACAAGTCTGTTTAGGTAATATAATCTGCAATTTACTGTCTTGGGTAGATGGGAAATTGATTCATGTAGATTCATTCACCTGCAATTCTGCCAACAAATTATGAACAGTGGGTCTGATTTTAATGTGATCCCAGTCTCAGGGTGAGATGTGCGGTGTTAGATCAAGTTGGTATAGAGGATTAGAACTAGACCTAGTAATTGGGTTGGGTGGATCGGGTTCAGGTTGGGTCAAGACATTACGGGTTGATTTTGGGTCGGGTCAGTAAGTGCTAGTCCCTAACCCTAAAAGTTCGGGTTAGGGTTGACCCATGGGTCATTCCTAAAAATAATGAAAATTTTATAAAATAATGAAAAATGTAAAAAATAAAGGAACTAACCTTAAAATTCCAAACATAAAATAAAAAATTTGAGCATTCAACAATTCAAAGAGTAAAGACTAAAGAGTAAAGATGAAAGAGAGAAAGCTTCTAAGAATACATAAATAGTTCCCATTAGACCTAACAATCGGGTTAGCGGGTTGATTCATGACCCAACCCAACCTAGTTTTTTTCGAGTTGGGTCAGGTCGGGTCATTCTCAACTTCAGGTAACTAAATATGAAACCCTAATCCTATTTTTTTTTTAGGTTGGATTGAGTCGTTTGGTAAATTGGGTCAACTTTCTGCTAGGTCTAATTGAAACGTGTTTTGTTGGCAAATCCCAGTTCATTCATTAATTGTCAAATAAATACAAAGTCCGGGCCACACTGCTAGCTGGTTCATATACTGCTGTTATAGTAATGGATATAATTCTAGTGGCACGGGTTCAAAGATAGTTAGATACAACTTCCTACTCATGACTTTTCTTTTGTCCATGTAGTTATCATCTTTAGAATTAATTTTTTTGAAGCCTGTCTTTAGCACTTACTCAAGGGAAGTATATTTGACCGTTCAATTTTATTTTTATTTCATTCTTAATAAGTCCATTTTTTTAAATTCAAAATTAAAGTCTCATTCGTTTTCTGAGAAATAAGAGTGGGAAGTTGGTCAATGGGATTATTTTTTTCTTGAGTGAGAATGAGGCCCCATGGGATTATTCAGGTAAGTAAATTTTACTTATTCATTTTTCAATAGAATAAGTAACTTTTACACTTGGGGGAAGTTTACAAAACATAATGTGACATGTTTGCCCATGCATTGGTTTTTTGTGGATAAAAAAGTCATCATATAACTTAGGAATCAAAACAACATTGTAAATGAGCTTATCAAGTAAGTGTTTCCCAAGAAACATTTATTTGGACAAGTGCACTTTCCAGGGTAAATAACCTTTTGAAAAACCAAAAAGGCCTAAATAGAGACAATATATATTATTTTTCAAATCTATAAGAGGCTGCAACTTGGGTCAGACCAACCCGAAAGTAACCCATTTGCTTACATGAGTATGGTAATGGATTTACAAATATTTCTAAGGTTTATTTATTTTATTAAAATAATTCTGTTCAGTAAAATTTATTGACCAACCACGGATGCCATTGCTCTCTCTTATTCATTTGACTGAAGCCAAGCAATTTTTGATAGATTTGAAAATCAAACCTTGCTTCTTTCTAAAATCTTGATACGACGTTTTAGGGATATATTTGGAATAAAAAAGCATGGGTTCATGGTTATAAACATTTTTCTACTTCTTTTATATGGTAATGCTACGAAATACATGAAACTACAACTGGTGTTTTAATAAATGATCCTATTTGTAAGTGTACTTGTTCACTAAATAAATCTTTTTTCCGTGTAGGTATTGGTTTCGGCATCTTGTTTCTTCTATTTGTTAGTTCTTGGCTGTATTGGGGAATCCAAAAGAGAAAGCTCGACAAACGCAAAGAAAACTTTTTTCAGCAAAATGGAGGTCTCTTATTGAGGCAATTGCTCTCTTCAAATGATGCAAATATAGAAACTGCAAAGATATTTACTGAAGAAGAGCTCAAGAAAGCAACTAACAACTTTGATAAGAGTCTGATCCTAGGTCGCGGTGGCTATGGTACAGTATATAAAGGAACTTTACCTAATAATAAGATTGTTGCCATTAAGAAGTCCAAAATAGTTGATGAAAATCAAGTTGAGCAATTCATCAATGAAGTGGTTATTCTTTCTCAAATTGAGCATGAGAATGTAGTCAAGCTTTTAGCTTGTTGCTTAGATTCCGAAATCCCCTTATTAGTATACGAATTCATTACTAATGGGACTCTATTCCATCATATTCATGATGAAGGACACAAATCGTCAGTTTCATGGGACAATCGCCTAAGGATTGCTACAGAAACTGCAAAAGCACTTGCCCATTTGCACACTGCAGCTACCCCTCCGATCATTCATAGAGATATTAAATCGGCCAATATTCTCTTAGACGATGTCTTTAAAACAAAAGTATCAGATTTTGGAGCTTCAAGATTAGTTCCATTAGACCATACTCAATTTACCACATTAGTACAGGGAACATTGGGGTACTTGGACCCAGAATATTTTCAAACAAGTCACTTGACAGAGAAGAGTGATGTTTATAGTTTCGGTGTAGTTCTTGTAGAGCTATTAACCGGAAGAAAAGCACTAGAATTGGACAGACCAGAAAGAGAGAAAAATTTGGCTATCTATTTCATGGGTTTGATGAAAGAAGACAGCGTTTTGGATATTTTGGAGGATAGAGTGTTAAATGAGGCTGATCGGGATCAACTTTGTGAAGTCACTAAGCTTGCACACAGATGCCTAAGCGCGAAGGGAGAGGATAGGCCTACAATGAAGGAAGTAGCCATGCAGCTAGAAGAGTTGAGGGGCTTCGACAACCATCCATGGGTTGAACATAATCATGAAGAAGTAGAGCATTTGCTTGGTGAGCAACCAAATTTACAAAATTGCAGTACTTCAGAGTATGATAGTAGTTTGAAGGGTCACGTTGCAATATCATTGAACAATGGGCGATGATAGTTAAAGTTTCAACTTCTGTTTGTCATCTTGTTTGTATATTTTTAAGAATTAGTTGTGTGGTTTGTTGTTTTTATATAAGATTTTAATAATAAGAATGTAAGTTTCATATTTGATGGGAAGAAAAATAGTAAATTCAAATTTAATAGCCTCTTTTAACCATTGTTTACTACATGAGTTCCCCTTTTTTGATAAAGAAATCTTCTTTTTTAAGAGCTATTTCTTAGTTTTTTTCTTTGTCTATCCCCTTTGAAAAATAATTAAATTTAGGTAAATTGCTGAAACCTCCTTACAACTTTTTAATAGTTTCTAAAATTTCGGATGCTTTTTTCTAACAAAATCAGTTCCGCTGAAATATTCCTGACATTGTAGCATGCATACTCTTTTGTTAGAGACTTAAATTTTATTTGTTTTTGTTATGCTTGGGGCCAAGCTACCCCTCGTATTCTGTAGCTCTTCCTATTTCTACCAAAAAAAAAAGAACAAAATAGTCTTAAGCGACAACAAAATGCCCACCAAACTAAACATTGACCACACCACACAAACACAAATTAGAACCCAAACCACTTTAAAAGTGCAAGCTAGGATACCACCCATGCCCACGCCCACAAAAGAACAAAACAACACTACAAAAAAAATATATATATCCCTAAAAGAAGGATTATAATTGATAAGGGCAACTTTTGGGCCTTAAAGTCAATAAAAATACTATTTTTAATATAATTTTAAAATAAGATAACCTTTTTTTTTTTTTAAAATATCACATAAGGACAAAAAACACTGTTCATCTTTTTTGGATCCCTTACAGGTCTATGCAACACTTGTCGATCAAGGCAGAGAGAAGCAAAATTACACTCACAACAACACGGAAAAAAATTAATAAGAGAGGAATCGAAAAACTGGTAAGAATTTGCTCCATCCCAACATCACTACTGTCTTGCTCTGCTCTTTTTTTCTTTTTTTCTCTCTCGCCTTTTATTCCTTTTTCGTGCAAAACGTTGTGCAAAGCAAAAACGCATTGTGAGTTTGTTTTTGTGGAATTGAAAAAGATCCTTCTTGTTTTTTTTTTTTCAAGTTTTCAACCTGTGTTGCGTTTTTGTTGTTTGATTCTTCATGTTTTGTTTATTTACCTAGACTTTTCCGCTTCAATTAGTTCATTTTTGTTGTTATTTTTTTCGCATGGTTAGTCGAATTGAGTAGTAGAATTGTGTAAGGTTAGGAATTTTTTTGTGTGTATTTTTCCTAAAAATTGTATTTGATAGTTTCGTGTTTGAAACGATTTCCAGCGGAGTTGTGAGGTTATGGTTGTAAAACACTGAGACAATCAGATATTGACAAAGATCACAAACAAGTTTAATTTTGAGTTTCTTTTTTTTTCTTTTAATTTTTGAAGTTCCTCTATGGTCGAAACTTTGAATTTCTTTCTAAATCATCTGTGAATTTCCTGCTTCTCTGAAGTTTGGATTTCAACTCGCATGATACAAGAGAGGAACAAAGTATTAGTGGTTCCACTCGATCTCTCTTAGCTCGGTGGATATATAAGATCTGTTAGTTAACAGTACTGGTTAATTCTATTTATTGACAGGAATCTCAGATGAACTTCAACAACGCTGGTGATGTTCCACCACCGTCGGAAGGCAGCGGCGGCAGTGGAAGACTATCAAAAATGTCCTGTTGGCCAGACAGCCTTCCATCTACTCGTTAACCCTCGATGAGTTCAATCCATGGGCGGAGGCGTTGCCCGAGGTGGGCGGAGAAGGCAGAGGTAAACATGAATGATTTGCAAGAGGGAGAAGATGAACAGTATTTTTTGCCCTGATATTTTAAAAAAAAAATTACCTTATTTTAGAAATTATATTAAAAATATTACTTTTATTAATATTAGGGCCCAAAAGCTGTCCTTATCACTTATAATGCCCTAAAAAACATATTCCTTCCCTTGTAAGGTGCTAGCTAGCTGGTTGGTGAGGTCTTTGACCGGTCGTAGTGAAGACTTGAGACCGAATCCCGCCTGCACTTGAGACCGAATCCCGCCTCCACCAACTTCTTCACTTTTCAACAGCCTAGGAAGACAATCTAAACTATCAAAGGACCATTCTGAATCAAACTTTAAACCAAAATATTCCAAACGAACAACACTACAAAGAAAAAAGAACACAAACTTTAAATCAAAATATTCATTCCCCTGCATATAAGGTGCCAACTAGCTAGTTGGTAAAGTCTGCTGGTCATAGTGGAAACTTGGGATCAAATCCTTCCTGCACCTGGGTTGGGAGACAGGGCTACCCCAAGTTGTATAGCCCTTAAAAGTTAGAAGGATATAAAAAAAATATTCCTTCCCTTACCACCATGACCTCTGCCTTGGATGATGTTTCCCCTTGATTTCGAGACTTCACTACAACATCACCATATAGATCCACCAGTTTCTTTGCTTTTCAATAACCAAGAAGACAATCTAAACCATCAAAGGACCATTCTGAACCATCACCACTCGTGGACTCTAGAGTTGCCTCTTGCTCCACTTGGGGTTCTTAGGGAAATTGGATACTCTGCTTGGTGCATTAGCTCTATAGGTCGTAACCACTCTCATGTTGTCTAAACCCCTACGTAGAGTCACTTCAAGAAACCTTCCTATCTTCAACTACAACTACACTCGCTAATCAATCATGGGATCACGAGACTTGCCATCTTCCTCAACTCCATCAAACACAGAGATGTGCAAATCTTGGTGTAGGAGAAACAATCGGTCTCACTCCATTTGAGAAAACCAAATGATAGAGAAAGTTTAGATTATTAGATGCTTCTTGTTGGGTACCACTTTTTCTTAGGCCCAAATCTGAATTCAACCTCTCCCAAATCGATGAAAGGGGCACACCAAATTGTTGATGTGGGCCAAGGCCCAACTAAAACACACGAACACGAGCTAGCAGCGTTGCCCAAAATGCCAAAATGTCACGAACATCCAAAATCAAGGAATGACTCCCCTCTTGATATGAAACCCTAAAACTCAACTCCACCCTTAGTTCCGCCCAATTAAAACCATAAAACCCTAAAATTTGACGAGGATTGAGGTGCCACAACATCACCTACCAATTTATAAAAATACCAATTACAAAGCACAACGACTGAAGATCAACCACTCATTCAAGGCGTTGAAAATCAACCGATCAAGTTGAATGAATAAAATGGTCAAGAGAATTTACAGTTTCCAAAATGTATAAATCCTCACATGACAGTCCCATGGAAATATTCTAAGTATTTTCCATGTAGTTAACCAACAGAATGGTAAGTAAGGGCAAAGAGCAAAGTCCTGAAAACCAAAGTACAAATGGCCTTTGTTGCAAAACAATGTTTGGGGACTAAGTGTCACGACCCCTAAAAGCAAATAGACTAAGTGTCACGACCCCTCCCCCTCCCTTAACCCTCCAAACCTGGTGGCAATGGGACTTGATCCCAACTCTCTACTCCAACAAGTCAGAGATCCTAGCAATGGAGCCACCACCAGACAAGCTTAAAACTTGAATTAGAATAAGGTTGGGTCGGGTTTAGACTGCGTTTAAGCTGGGCTAGGCCCAGGCCCAACCTAAAAAATAAAAAATCTCAAAATCTTGTCCCCAAGCCCAACTAGTGTACTGGTCAGTCCTGCCCAAATTGCACCCCTAACAGCTAGTCAGCTACATCCTCATAGCAAATCATTCATTTTTCTGGGTAAAATTTTCAGACTAATATTTCAGTTATCATCTCTACTCCATATGTATAGAAAACTTTTGCTCTCCATGTAAATGGCAAGGAAAACCACGTCACCATAAGAAGGGCCAAAATATAGTTCAGATACTTCACCCCAAAAAAGTTCCCACCCACTTTATTTCAGCTCAATTTGGTTGTAGTGCGAATTTCATTTGCATTGGTATAAATGCATGGGGTGCAAATTGACTGAATGTCCTTTGCATCAAATTTAATTTTGTCTTAGTTGTTTATGAAAAGTAAAACATGAATCCAAATAGAGTTGGGATCTCTGACAAATAAAACATGTTCCAACACCCTTCCAACATGATCTCACACTACATATTCATAACTTATACATGGTGGGTCCCAGATTTGTGATGGGTCCCAATCTCATGGTGAAATGTGCACTGTGGAAGGGTGTTGGAACATGTTGTGTTGGTAGGAGATCCCAACTCATTCAAATGATGTTATCCCTGCCTATTTCTGACTCTGGATGGGCTCTTAACAAAGTCTGTCCCAACACATTCCAACGTGATCTGTGTCTACACTTCGCAGACATGCTGGGTCCCAGTCTCATGGTGAGAGTGCATACACAGATCATGTTGGAGGTGTTTTGGGACTAGGCAGATGGCATCCCTTTTTATGAAAGAGAATAGTGTTGAGATTGTTTTGGAGTGTGTAGGAAGCAAGATAGTGTGATTCCCACTTCATATGAGGGAGAATTGAGGTAGGAGTAGGACTGTCAATGGACCAGATATTGGTCCAGTCCAATCCCGTCCAGAATGAATCCATTACAAATGGACTAGGTCCAATCCAATCCAATGAATATTTTGGACCACTCTGGACTGGTCCAACTCAATGTTTGGACCATCCGAATTGTTCAACTTGGTTGTAATTTAGATTGGATATAACACAAACCTGGTCCATTGGCACCCATACTCTTATTTTATGTCAATGGATTGGATGTCGACCTGATCCAATATAAATCCATTACAAATAGACCAAGTCCAATCCAATCCAATAAATAATTTGGACCATTAAGTTTTAACTAGTCCAGTTTAATATGTCTTATTGGTCCATCCAATCCATTCAAATTGATTTTGATTCGATTGGGGGTCCAACCCAAATCCAATCCATTGACACCTTTAAGGTACCAATTTTGCATTAGCTTTAAGGATGCGGTAGGAGGAAGGTGGTGCAAATTTTGCATTAACTTTTGAGATATAAAATTTGCACTACCAATGAGGCAAAAACTATAAATTTTGTGTCAGGTAAAGAGTATAAATCATAGTTACTAGCAAATGGGTGCAACACTGAACCGAA